GGGAGGGGGAGGTTAAGATAAGATTAGACCAACAAGAAATAAATTAAAACAGAACTTCTTTGGATTAAATTATATGTCGATAGCGTAACAAATTTTAATACTATAAGTATAATTTAATTAATAACATATTACGCTACTACTTTATTTTCCATGGTAACATATCATATTTGTCGTGAAGAGCTACTTGTTCCTGTATATAACTTAACTTAAGAGTGGTGCAGAGAATTTAAATCCCAAAGTCTATTCCTTTTTCTTTTTTTTTTCTGTTAAAGTCTTTTTCTTTGATCTTCACAAGCTTGGATGGGTTGTAATAAGTGGAAGTCACATAACAATCCTAAATGAAATGAAAGCAATGTGTTAACGGTTGATGGGTATATGGTCCTCCCTTACCCCTACCCCTCACCCCTCACCCAAATAAAACCCCACCTCACGGCGTCCGTAAAAAGAGAGTTTTTTTTTTACTTTAAGTCCGCATCANATATATATATATATAAAATATTTTTTTCTGTTATTATTTTGAGCGATTATATAGTATCATTTTCCCAAAAATAATTCTTGAAATATGGATTTGCGTGTTTCATTTTGACTAGTATAATCAGTATGCTTTAACTCAAACGAGGAAGTTCATAATTTCTTTATACTTGAAACAAGACCGGAAGTCCATGGTCCCCCTAAGATCCATAAAATTCTATTGTATAGTTTCTTTATACTTGAATGCATTAATTGTCATATCTCAAAATATGTCATTTCTTTTATAGAGTAACACTATAAGTTTGAAGTTGATTTCTTTCTATCTATCTACATTATCCTAAGAAAAATTCGATATTTATGTTGATAAAAAATAATGGGTAACAAATAAATAATTCACATATGTATAAATTGACTAAATTTTATGAGTGGTCATTCAGTTTTATGCGCATTACCCAAAGTCATTATCCTTTCTTTTATTACACAAAAATCTATTTTACTTTCCTCCACTCTTTACAAAAATAACTTTGATAAACCCATATAAAATATGAGATAAAATAACAAAAATGATCCTTGTATTTGGGGGTAAGTTTAAAATGTGCCCTTAAATATACTCCCTAGTTTTTGATTCTATAAGGTTGTCCAAAGTGAGTACTTTTGATTTACGTCGAATATTTAACAAACTATAATTGTTACTTTAATGAAAAGTGTGTAAAAGAAATTTACTATGGAATCAAATTTAGAAGTGTATTTTTTTTACAATTTTGGCTATTTTTGGCTCAATATAAGATTTGGTATAGTTTTTGAGGTGTAGTTGTGATGACCCAAAATATCATCTTTAAATTTAATAAGTAATTCTGTGTTCTAAGACCTTGAAAAGTACCATTTATCATTTTTCGACTTGCTTGCGCAGTCCGTAAAATTTTTCGGAAAGTTTTCATGTGAAAAAAGGATTAAAATGTGAAATAAAGCTTTAAAACTCAGCTGAGTTGACTTTGGTCAATATTTTTAGCAAACGGATCCGGATCAGTATTTTGACAGTTCCGGTAGCTCCGTATCGTGATTTGGAACTTGGGCGTATGCCCGAAATTTAATTTGGAGGTTCCTAACTCAAGTTATGACCATTTAACAGAACTAGCAATTTAAAGGCTAAAGACTTCTAAGTTCGACTACGGGGTTGACTTTTTGATATCGGAGCTGGAATCCGATTCTGGAAATTTGAATAGCTCTATTATGTCATTTAGGACTTTTGTGCCAAATTTGAAGTCATTCCGGATTCATTTAATATGTTTTGACATGAGATTTTTAAAACTTAAAAGATCGAATCGAGGTGTGAATTGAAATTTTGATGTTGTTTGGCATTAATTGAAACTCCGAGTAAGTCCGTATTATATTTGTGGAGTTGCTGGTATATTCGGACGGAGTCTTGAGTACCCCGAGCGTGATTCGAATCGAAATCGGAACAAGAATTGGACTTAAGCCAATTCTGGAAATTTCTGCCTCTGATGTAATCGCACCTGCGAGGGTCTTTGTCGTAGGTGTGATTCCGCATGTGCGGCGGAATTGCGCAGATGCGGGACTGGGCTGGCCTGGGATCTTTGCAGGTGCGGCCATTTTGCGCAGAAGCGGATGTCGCAGGTGCGACAGGAATGTCCGCATATGCGAAACTTCACCTGGCAGCCTGGCATCGCAAATGCAAGCCTTGTCTCGCAAATGCTAGTCTGCAAATGCAGAACTTTTATCCGCATATGCGAAAATGACTGGGCAGAGCCCATAAATTCGGAAGTCGTCATTTTTACTCATTTTTGAGTTTCAAGTCTCGGATTTGGGCGATTTCAAGGGGGATTTTCACGACTTTGAATTGGGTAACTGTTCTATAACCAAAAGTGATTATATTTCACAAATCCATGTCTATTTTCATCATTTATTTTGGATTTAGTTGGAACAAATTGGAATTTTTATAAAACTTTCCAAAAAAAACAAAAATTTAGATTTAAAGGTCCATTTGACATCGGAATTGTATAATTTTTATATGGTTAAACTCGTAGTAGAACGGGTGTTCGGATTTCGCGAGTTTTCCGAGATTTAAGACGTGGGTCCCACTGTCGAATATTTTAATGAATTTTAGATTTTATTCGGAAAATTAGTAAATTCATATGGAATTAATTCCTATGATTCGTATTGAGTATATTGAATTGTTTATGAATAGATTTTTGAAGCTTTTGGAGACAAATTCAAAAGGAAAAGCTGTGGTCGAGTAATTGATTGGAATTTGCAAAGCGAGGTAAGTGTCGTGGTTAACCTTGACTTGAGGGAATAGAACCCTCAAATTATTTGTTATGTGAATTGCATGTGAACGACGTATAGGTGAGGTGACGAGTGTCTATACGTCGTCAAATTAATTATTTGCCTGCTTACTTGAAAAATCATAAATTATTTTAAATCATGAATTAATTATTATAATAATTATTTCTCTCCTATTCTTTGTCAAATATTAATTCTTGAATTCCTGCATTAATTGTTACATGCTATTTGAATTATGTGTCTTAATTGTTATTTGACATTTAGTATATTAAATATTAAACTGCATATTTTCTCTCTGATTTTCATAATAATTTGCTATTTGCCTTTGTTTGTTTCATAATTAAATCATAATTATTGTATGCTTGTTGTCTTATAATTTTATATTAATTTTTGTATTTATTAGAGAAATTTCTTCTATAAGAATTGGTAAATAAATATGTTGGAGGATCGGGTTGCACATCGCAACAGGATTGATTATAATGAATATATTGGAGGATCGGGTTGCACGCCGCAACAGACTTGATTAAAATGAATATAATGGAGGAGCGGGTTGCACGCCGCAACAGAACTGAATATGAATATATTGTGAGAGCGGGTTACACGCTGCAACAGAATTGAATGTGAATATATTGTGAGAGCGGGTTGCACGCTGCAACAGAATTGATGGAAATGATAATTGGTTATGACTGTTGAGCTGGCTTCAATTATTATAAATGAGTTACCTGATTTATTTCTATTATTGTTGTTGTTACTAATATTGCGTACATGTAATGTAAGTGACCCGCCTTAGCCTCGTCACTACTTCGTCGGGGTTAGGCTCAACACTTATCAGTACATGGGGTCGGTTGTACTGATACTACACTCTGCACTTCTTATGCAAATTTCGGAGTTGGTCCCAGCGGCGTGCCATAGACTTGCTCGGATTTCAGCTACTCGGAGGAGACTTGAGGTATAACTGCATGGCGTCTGCAGTTCCGAAATCTCCGTCTATTTTACTTTAGCTGTGTGTTTATTTCTTGACACCTTTATTTGTATTATTCTAGAAGCTCGTGCACTTGTGACACCAATTCCGGGATGGTAATTAGACACCATTGTTTTTATGGATTATTC